AAAAAAAAAAAAAAAAAAAAAAAAAAAAAGAAAAAAAAAAAGAAATATGGCCAATCTTCACACGATCGAATTTTGAAGGTAACGATAACAGAAGAGAGGAAGGCGACGAGAGGAGGTCGACAGAGAACGTGAACAAATCCTTCGACATCAGTGACACTATGGCGGAAAATCCGGTGAGCTTCGTCGTTGGGGGACCAGACAACGATCCCGCCGAAGAGTCGGAAGTGGAGGATACCTTTCCATCCGAAACAAACGATTTCGAGACGCAGAATGCCATGGCAGGCTTGATCGAGCGCCGCAAGCGGCTCAGGGGATTTATTTTCTTCCTTTTTTTTTTTTTTTCTTCTATTTATTTTTGTTTCCCTTTTAAAATTGAAAAAAAATGCAAGGAAGTAATAATAAAGGAATTAAAAAGACATTGTAACAGAGAAACAGAGATGATCGAGAATTGGATCGTTCTTGTCGAACTTGAAAAAGATCCACGAGGATTTCTTTTGGTATATATATATCTAATGTACTTATATATACATATGTGATAAATGTTGATCTTCAATCGGTAAATTTTTACGATTCGTTCGAAAGTTTGGGGGAGGGGGAGGGGGAAAGATGAAAGAAAAGTGAATGAAAAGAGAAAATTGTTAGAGGATTTTTAACTTTAGGGAAGATAGTACCGTGGATAAGTTAAATTTTTTTTTAGAGGTTATGTCATTTTAAACGGAGGCGTTAACAATTGTGACGATGTTGGAAAGTGTTGAATAATAAGAAGAATAATTAACTATTAAGTTGCTGTTAATTATAGCATTACGTTTGCTCATTTTTAAAACACTCTTATTTACCATAATCTTGAAATCATATTTCATGATAACGTACTTCATTCATTATGAATGAATGAAATAACTTTTAATACCATTGACAATTAACCCATTTTTAAATACATCTTTAATAGAAATATAAGAGTTAAAAGTAATTAGAATTAAAAGAAAAATATAGTAAATTTACAATTAATAAGTTTCTATTTACTTGAATGATAAACTGCAATCCTATATTGAATATTTATAATTATTTAAAACATGAAGCTTTTGTAATTTTTTTTAGTATTTCATTATTTTTGTCTTCTTTTTTTTTTTTTTTTTATTTTAATTATATTTTGCATAAAAATTTTGTTTCGTTTTTATAATTATAAAAATACACAAATGTAAAAATTTTTCAAGCAATTATGAATATTTGAATTTTAATAAATATTCAAAATTACAAAGTTATAAAAAAAATATTCAAATTGAAAAAAAAGTTATATTACAAACTTTTTTCTTTTGTATTATCATTTTCATGTTTGTTTAATTTGAAGTTTTATAAAATTGAAAGAAATTTGAAGAACAATTGATAATCTAATCATTTTTTTTTCGAAACAAATCACAGAAATTCTAATCGTTATATTTTATAAATTATTTATTTTTATAATTATATTGGATCCAATTGTAAAAATGATTTAAAAGTAACATTTTAAACAGAATCATTTCATCTACTTATTTTATATCGATGTACATTTTGATAATCAGATTTTTTTCCATTTATAAATTATATATTTATCTATAATGTAATAATTTAAACATCATCTTCTTTATATAACACATAGTTTTATATACATATGAACATAATATAAATATTTTCATTATTTTTGCAAAAATATATTTGTTTAATTATAATATAAAATAAAAAATAATACTTCGAGAATGATAAATGTATTTCAAGATATTCTGAGAAATTGAAATGAATAACAATTACAGCATAAAAGACTTTGAACTCAACGACATTTACACATCCTGGTGGTTTAAATTTTAAATAAGAAAATCTTTCATCGATAAACGCTAATCTGAAATTCGTTACAAAAAATTATATAATGTGTGACGATCTTTCAGAAAAAGTAGAATATTTAATAATTTATTCAGTTGTGTTTTCCATCGTTGATGGAAAATTTCGATATTTGATATGAATAGAATGCAGATTAAATTCGACTTTAGAAAACTTGTTTTCTAAGTTAATGGATAAAAAATTATTTTCT